TGGGGGTCCCTGACCCTCAAAGCCAGCTCCGGGATGGGGAGGGGGTGCGGGGTGGGGGTCCCACATCCCCAGTGCCAGCCCGGGAGTGGGGGGAGGGCCCAGGGGGGGTGTCTCGTCCTCAGGGACAGTCTCGGGAGCCCCTCACCCCAAGGACAGGCCTGAAGTGGGGAGGGGCCGGGGGGCCAGGCTGGGGAGGGGTTTTGGGGGCGGGGGTCCCGCCCCCTCAGGAACAGCCCCGGGCGGCGGGGGAGGTGCCGGGGGCGGGGGGTGTCCCCTCAACCGCAGGAACAGCCCCGAGGTGGGAGGGGGTGCGGGGCTGGGGGTCCGAGAGCCCCGGGGTGGGAGGGGTCCCTCACCCCAGGGACAGCCCGTGCTGGGGAGGGGGCTCAGGGCAGGGGGTCCCCCACCTCCAGCGATGTCCTGGCGGCCGACAGCTTGAAGAGGACCCTCCGCCACTCCTCGGGACAGACCGCCCGCAGCTCCTCGGGGCTCATCTGCAGCAGCTCCTGCCCCCGCAGCACCCCCAGGCTCCGCACCGTGCTGGGGGGGGCACAGGGGTGAGCCGGGCTCGTCCCCCCCTCCCAGACGGACCCACAGGAATCCGGGGGGGCTCAAGGGACCACCTACATCCGCGAGAAGCCCTTGTCCGCCAGCCAGGCCGTCACCTCCGCCGGAGTGGAGTCGGGGCGCAGGGTGGGGGGGCTGTCCTGGGGGGACACGGGAGGGGACAACGGGATGTGCCCCGGCCACCCCCTCCTGATGGGGGGCTCGGGGAGGGCAGGGGAAGGGGGGACGCCCACCTGGCCGGCGCTGGGGCCTCCCCCGCGCCCCGGCACCGGGAGGGGCTCCAGGATGTTGCCCGGGACGTGCCCCCGGTCCCCGCGCTCGTCTTGCACCAGCCACCACTTCTTCTGCTGGCTCAGGACCTGGGGGGGCACAGGGGGGCCAGGGTGGGGGGCCGGGAGGCCGGGGGTCCCCACTCCGTTCCCCCCACCCATAGCGGGGACCACCCCCACTGTACCTGCAGCGTGTCCCCCTTCCTGACGCTCAACTCCTGGGAATTCCGAGCCTGGAAGTCGTAGAGGGCTCGGAACAGCCCCTGGGCAGGGCCGGGGGGGCTGCAAATTGGGGAGGGGGCGAGTCACCACCGGGGGGGGGCACACTCTGCCCCCACCCTCAGCACCCCTCGAGGACGGGGGGCACTTACCTGGGGGGCGGGTCCTGGGCGGGGGGCGCGGACAGGGGCGAGGGGCCCGGGCGAGCTGAGGCACCTGAAGCGGGGGGTGGGGAGTC